CCCTCAAGTCCCATGCTTGAAGCAAATTAGCCCTAGCCCCTCCGCTAACTGAGCTCCCGTTTGTTTAATGGCTTCCGTGACATTTGATTTACGAGTTGTATCCAATGTATCACTAGTAGTCTAGAAGCGGAATTATCAGCCTAAACAGAAAAGGTTGAAACCCAAATTTAAGGTCCGTTAGGTATGACAGTTTTAAAATAACAGTTAATGATTTCATCTAAAGTTTAAACCCCTAAAAATAAGTATTTAGTAAATTTATTTATTTTAAAACCATTACAAATTAATTGTTTAGTAAAAAATTTTATTTAATAATTTGACACTAGTAAATAGCAGTTAGGGTCTAAATCGTTGACGAATTAAAAAAGTTAGCTAAAGTAATTTTTTGTAACAAACTGTTGGTGGATTAAAATTTATTAATTTTATTGACAATTTTTTTTTTAATTTTTAATTTTTTTTATCATGGTTTTTAATTAATATTTATCTTACAATTAATTGTTTTTAAACATGTCTTTATTAGTCATTTCATTTTGAATAACAATTGCTAATTATTGTATAATCAAATAGTTATATTAATTGAATTTGTTATTTACAATTTGCTTCTTATTTTTAGTTATCCATCATCCGCTATTCATTAACCGTCATATGCTATCCACTAGTTGATACTTGTTATTCGCTATCCGCTATCTATTATTTGCTACCTGCTATCCATTATTTGCTACATAGTATCCGTTATTCACTACATAATATCCGTTATATCAAACAGTTCCTTAGTCATTACACTTCAGGAGAAAACGACCTTTTTTTGTTCTTATGCTTAAGATATCCACTTTTAGTGTCTAAATTTTTTTTAACCTTTTTAATCCCTTTGTTAATTAAGTACTAATGTGATATTTTTATTTGTTAAAAATTTTATTTGCTTTAATTTTTAATGAGTAAGGATCTATTTACATATAAATTTTACACTTCGTTCTTATACAAAATCTCAATTATTCATGTATTTATTTTTAATAGTTAAGATTAATTCACATTTATTAAAATAATTGTTTTTTATTTAAAACATTATGATAAATCTCAATCATTAAAAATTAAGGGATGAATGGTTAAAATTTTATGTAAATATAATATGTAAAACTTATATGCAAATTTATCCCTTCTCATTTTTAATACTAATGTAATACCCCAAAATTTTGTGCTATTTTAGCATTTAAGTAAGGGTTTTTGTGTGAGAAAATATTGTTTTGGGCTTAATTGCCAAAAATTTCAAAAGTTGAGGGGCTTAAAGAGGGAAAGATTTTGGATAAGGATGGCTTATTTCTTTTTCTCCTTTTCCTCTTTCTTCTCAGCCCGATTCTGCTCTTCTTCTTCTTCTTCCCG